ATTTATTTATTTATTATTTTACCTTCAATCAACTTTTCGATAAGAGTGACGTTCAAGGTTTGATTATTCTTTTAGCAACCGAATTAACTCCATTTCAGTATTTATATTTTGTTCGTAAACATTAACCTGTAACAGTATATCAGCACTTAAATATAACTTCGGGTATATATACATCAAACAATTTCTCACTTACCTATGGAGTTATTAAATGCATAAAAACCTAGCTGTTTCAGAACAAGTCGCACTATATTGTTATAAATATGACTAAAAGCAAATTCGTATTTATGTGTTAGGGTGATACGTTTCGGTCACCGAGATTGTAAGAGATAAACAATAAAAATAAATAGAACACAGGAGCATTTATGAATAGATGACAAGATACGCTAAAAGGAAAACGTACACATTTTAAAAAGCCGATATAAAAAAATATATATATTTATTCTTTATGCGATAAGGACATCTATCAAAAAAAGATAACAAAAGGAAATGCAAACTAAAATAAATTCAAGTTATGCAAATTGGACGGTTCAAGTGTCTACATATACGCTGTTTTCCCATATCTATTTCGTCTGTTTGCGAATACACAGACATACATCGCGAAACCCGTGTCTGTCTGTCTGTGAGTGTATCTTGAGCAGTACTGACAGTAGCCAGAAACATGACCTACTTTCTTGCAACGTTGCTCTTTCTCTCGCCTTTGAGTTTTAAGATCCCGAAGGCACCGTGATAATACTTACATTTTGGTGTCAGTTTATATGAATAAATGTGCTTTATTTCTTTTATCTGATTGTCAACTGACAAATATTTTTTCTCTTATCTGTCTATCGATTTATATATCTATATATCTGTTTATACATCTATATATGTATGAGTGTATGTGTGTATTCTCTCCCTCTCTCTGTTTTTTTCTCTGTATGTTTTCTCTCTCTCTCTCTCTCTCTCTCTCTCTCTCTCTCTCTCTCTCTCTCTCTCTCTCTCTCTCTCTCTCTCTCTCTCTCTCTCTCTCTCATATATATATATCTACAAGTATATATATATAGATATAGATAACTAGCTTAGCTAGCATAAAAGGCTATTACGTCGCTCATCCACATGTTCAGTCCTTGCGTGAGGGCGAGGAAGCGAGAATTCCTCAGCCATAGTAACTGTTAAGGGCTATGGACGCCGGCCTTGAGCTCGTCTGTGTCCTAGTTACAAGGATTTCAGGGACTCTATAGTGTCTAAGAGACCATCGTCCTACATTTCCTTGTGTTTCGTTCTTATAGTGAATTTAGTATGGTGCTTTGATACGATGTATTTCAGATTTTTTTTCGCGAAGGAAAAAACTGTACATTTATATTCGAGTTGTTGAGAATAATTTCAACAGTATCAATCAAATATTCGAATTCGAGAAATTGACTATCAGACAGCGTTTTAAGGAGCTTTCTTATCTCTCGTCATAATTTCATTTTTCCCGCCATTTGAATTGCGTAACGATGCCACACACGGAAGCGAAAAGGCCAAGGATGAGGATAGATTTGTCGTTTACTTGGAATAAATGCGTATAGGACTTTACCTCTTTGTGTATAAGAGAGTAAAAGCGATGTTTTTCTACGAATTATATGGGTGGATTATTTTAAAGCTGTAAATTCATGCTTCCATCCAAATTTTACAACGCCTTAAGTCGATTTTACAGAAATTTGCAGTCTACCAGATTTGGCGAAGGAAGGTGAAGGGAGGGGGACTTGTATGTATCGAAGTGCCCGGAAAATAGAAAGAAAACGGAATGAATTGAATTAAAGGCATAAATAACTTATGTAAATCTATCCACGACTGGCCGTGTGAATGACCCAGAACCACAGTGGTGTGTTGGCGCTCCCCCCCCCCAACCCCACCTTGCCCTGCTATACCCCTTAACCGGCCTCCAAGGTCAAGCTCGTTTGGGACAATCTATCCACAATTCACCACTTCCCTAGTTATATTGCAGATATCTCTTCCATTTGTCATCATAATGAAAACACAAACCTATGTACAATATAGATCGATAGATAGACTCATAAATAGATAGACAGATAGATGAATGGATTGATAGATGGATAGATAGATAGGTAGATGAGTAAATAGATAGGTAGACAGATAGACAAATATATTTATATACACATAATGTATGGGCGTATACGCTCATTGTATATGTTCACTTATTATATAGACTGAAAAAGGCCGCAAGTTCTCTCATTTTCACGTCTCCTTAAAAAAAACGTTATAGGCCTCACCAACGTCGATATTAGCAAAAACTCGACCAACGCCTCAATTTCCATTTTAGATCCACAAGTTCTTCTTTGATAAGCCTTTTTTCTAGTCAACCATGGCATTTCAAAATTACTGAAAAGAAAAGAAAAATAAATTAGTTAAAAGCCCTTGGCAACGGGAGGACGCCATGAGGTTTGGAGAAGAAGCCGGGTATTATATAAGGGTTGTCAGTCCTAAATTAGGGATATTAAACTTGTGGCTTCCTGTACAGTATCAGGACGAGAAAACAACTGATTTCAGGGGATTATATTTTACTGGTATATATTCCCCATTTCATCTGTCTTCGTTTTTTTAACGT